TATGTATACAATATTCTGTCTGTGTGTATGCCTGAAGGCCAGAAGAGGGCGCCAGACCTCTTTACAGATGGTTGTGAGCCACCATGTGGTTGCTGGGAATTGAACTCAGGACCTTTGGAAGAGCAGGCAATGCTCTTAACCACTGAGCCATCTCTCCAGCCCCCCTGAAAATAAATCTTAAAAAGGGAAAGTTTTTTCTCTTAGGGAGATGAGGTGGCTCATTACTATGGCTCAGTAAAGGCACTTGCCACCACCATAGTTTGCATAGTGAAAGGAGAAAACTAACTCCATGAAGTTGTCCTTTGGCCTCTACTCACAAGCCATGCACATTTGCCTGTTCTCCCCCTCATCTCATACATACTCCATACACAAATAATAAAATGAATTTATATAAATTTTTAACAATTTTATTAGCATTAAATGCACTTTTGTGAATTCTTGCTGGTTTATCAGAGAGGGGAAATAATCTATTGAATTGAGATTTCCTTATGTACTTTCAAAAGTGCCGCTAAGAAGAGGGGTGGAGGATTGGATAAGACATCTATGGTCTTTCTTTTAAAGACAGACACATCTTACATTTGGTCAAGTTCTGGTACTTTGTTGATGGTGACCTCGGAGGACTTGGGGAATCTGGAGCAGTCCCTCAGGTCCGAGTATATAGTTCAACAGTCCTTTGCGTTTGTTTACAAAGTGTTTTCATAATTGTGATTAATAAAGTTACTTTGCTTTAAATAAGCCATTTTTCCTATTTAGCTATTACTTTTGATAAGTCGTGAAAAAAGTTGGAATATCTTTTGTGGCATTTAGAGCCATGTTTGCCATTGAAGGTCTAATTGACTTTGTTAGCTATTCTGCTTTATTAAACCACTTTTGATAGGAATACTACAGAGTGGAGCTGTATGTTTCTGAGTATGACATGGTGTTTCTCTGTTCCATTATGGGTAATGTTGGTTTTCATTTTTTGTTTGCTTTGAGACAGGGTCTCTTTGTACAGAGCCATTGCTGTCCTGGAACTCACAGGGATCTGCCTGCCTCTGTTAAATGATGATTGCCAGATCCATTCATTGTGGAGTTGCCGTATGAGGGTTCTCTAGAAAATATTTATGTAAAGGAAACTCATTAGAGTGCTGTTCCAGCAGTGCTGTCTACCAGTGGAAGGTCCAGTCTGTGAGGCTGGGACGTCTCAGCTAGTTTTGAGTGGGCTGTAATACCAGTGAAGAAACGGGCTCTCCAGGAACAGTGGGCAAAGAGCAAAAACTTCCTTCCTCCAAGTCTTTTATATAAACTGCCACCATAAGGTAGATCTTCCTGTTTCTAGAGATCCAGGTTCAGGTAAACTGGGTGTAGTTGTGCAGAGGCAGGTGGGTCTCAGAGCTGGAGGCCAGCCTAGGTGGTCTGCATGTGAAGTTCTAAGGATGGTTGGGACTACATAGAAACCCTGTCTCAAAAAATACAAAACCAAAGACAGAAGGAAAGAAGGAACCTCTCACAGGTGTATCCAGCCTCCTGGGCTTTAGTGACTTCCAGTTGTAATCATTTTAATTAACCAGTGGCTTGCAAAGGTTTTTTTTTTTTTTTTTTTTAATGTGTGACTGTCCTTTAGATGTTGCCCATTTAAGGTACCTTCAACTTGGTACCTGTGTTGTTCTTGACTTTTCTCCATATTTTAAAGAAGTTTTTATTTTGAAATATTTTTCAGATTAAAGGGAAGTTACAAGTGCAGAATAAAAATTACCATCTATGGCCAAGTGGTGGAGGCGGCGGCGGCGGTGCACGCCTTTAATCCCAGCATTTGGGAGGTAGAGGCAGGTGGATCTCAGTGGGTTTGAGACCAGCCTGGCTCCAAAGCTACAGGAAAACCCTGTCTCAAAAAACAAATCCCCGCTCCCCAAAGAAGAAACAAAGCAAACCACTTCCATATTGTAGAGTGAATAAGCAGAGTGTCCCTCCCCTCCCAGTCTGGGCCAGAGCAGTGGCAGGCAAGTGCTGTTTTTGTTGAATGGCTTGATTGGGTTTTTGTTGTTTGTTTTTTTGAGACAAGGTCACACTATGTAGTTTTGGCTGTCTTAGAACTCACTGTATAGACAAGGCTGGTCTCAAATTCACCAAGATCTGCCTGCCACTGGCTTCCCTAGTGCTGGGATTAAAAGGTGTTCCACTTCCCAGGTGTTGGCCTCACGGGAGAAGAATTTCTGCCTGGGGGTTATTTCCAGGTGACACTTGGATTGTCTTGTACTTTAAAATAGTGGCCACATAGTTGCAGCCGGTGTAAAAACGTTGCTTTTTTAGTTCAGTGTTAACATATTTCCCCCCCTTTTTTTTTGCAGCTGGGAATGGAGGAAGAAGATGTGATTGAAGTTTATCAGGAACAAACGGGGGGTCATTCAAGGGTTTAGATAATTCTTTTTATTTTTTTTCCTTTTCCCTTAATCCTTTTTTATTTTTAAAAATAGTTCTTTTGTAATGTGGTGTTCAAAATGAAAATTGAATACTGGCACTCCATCTCTTTAGAACATCTGGTAATTTGAATTCTAGTGTTCAATATTCATTATTGGTTGTTTTTGTTGTGCTGATTTTTGGTGATCAGACCTCAGCTCCCTTAATATTGCCCTTCATATTTTAAACAATTTCATATGTGCACAGAGAGGCCACCCTTTTCAGGACTGTGCATTTTCAAGTTTGTGATGATAAAAAGATGGACCAGTGGGAGCTTTCCTATGACCTTCCAGTTGGCCCTGAAGTTCCAGCATGCAGTTGCTTCACGCCTGGACCGTGGTTTTCAGTGGGAGATGGAAGGACTTCAGAGACCTGAACTGTGGGAAAATGACCTTTCCTCAGCTTGAAGCTACTTTTAAAATTTGAGGGTCTGGACCAAAAGAAGAGCATCACGTTTGTAGTCAAGATGACAGTGAGAGTGACAGCTAACTCCAGGATGGCTTCACCGGAGAGAAGAGTAAGGCAGGCTGTCTGAAGATCCCGGAAGGCTGTAATTTCCATCAGCAGTTAGTAGGAAAGTTACTCTTGCAGAAGTGTACGCAACAGACACTGCTCCTTTTGATTCTGTTTGTAGTTTTTGGCCTGGGACATGGGTTTTCAAGGGACATCGTCTGTACCAGCTTCATTAAAATAAACAATATTTGTAAAAACCGTACAAAAGCCCCTTTTATTTTAGTTTATTTAGTTTTGTAGGGAGAAAGATGAAAATGCCCCAGATGGGATTTTCTTTGGTGCTGTACAGTGGTGACCCTAATGACTTGAAGCAACGGGAGTTACTGGTGTGCCTCCTGAATCAGTCGTTTATGATCACAGTGCCTTTTTAAAAACTCACTGATAGGCGGTAGTGGCGCACACCTTTACTCCCAGCACTCTTGAGGCAGAGGTGGGCGGACCTCTGGGTTGGAGGCCAGCAGGACTGTTTGACAGAGAGACACCACTGTTGTGTCTTTTCTGATTGTGCTGTTCTTGGATGTTATGTTACACATAAACCATTACTGGGTGTTTTGTTTTTCCTTTTCGAGTATTTTTAAAATCCCAATGAATTGGGGGCTCTTAGTGGTTAAGAGCACTGGCTGCTCTTCCAGAGGATCTGTGTTGAATTCCCAGCACCCACAGGGTGGCTCACAACCATCCATAATGAGACCTGGTGCCCTCCCTCTTCTGGCCTATAAGCATACATGCAGGCAGAACACTATACATAATAAATACCTCTTTAAAAAAATTCCAGTGAGTCGCAGAACTATATATACACGCACATCCAATTTCATGTCATTCCAGATACCGTGCCATCTGGCTACTTTAGCAAATAAACCTTTCTGAGATGCATTTTATAAACTGCTAACAGCTTACATACCCTTC